GTAGGCATTGCTTAGGTCAATCTTACTTCGGAATCTAGCCCGTCCAACTGCATTTAGGATCTGGGTTTGGTTTGGGATAGCGGAGCTGTCCATAACCGTGTTTTCATTCCATAGCTTGAGGTCAACCAAGGGACGGATTCTTTCACCATCTGCTTTGGGTTGAGCAAACATAGGGGCAGCACCTGGGGCTTCTGCTCGGTAGATGACTCCTCTTCTTTGTTGTTGGTTGATCCAATCACAAAGTGGGCTTTTGTATGCGTCAGGAATAGAGTAGGTAGGTTGGTTCTTGAGATTAGAGGGGTCTCGGAGGCGAATGTGGTGATTCACCTCTCTCATAGGCGGTAGTTCTTCTGGTATTTGATCAGGGAAAACATCAGAGTATTCATCCAATAGTCATTGGGCAGCTGCTTTACAGACTGCGGCTCGGTACTCTCCGCTTGTTGGCTTGCATGAGACTCTGACCTTCTGTTCTGGGAAATCGATGGTTGATTCCCCACACCTGATTATAGCTTTGTGGCAGTTCAGGAATGGCATACCTATTAGGGCATCATATTTGGCTAGATTTCCAACCAGCATTTCCTGGGGGGGTTGTACAGCAGAATCAAGTTGAATAGTCACACTACAGATTTTATGGCTTGTGGATCGTGATCCCTTTACTGCCATATTGACTGGTATGGGTTGGCTAAGGTCTCGAGTTGGGAGTCAATGGACAGAGACAAAGGCATTACTAATCATATCTCTTCCGATTGCGCCAGTGTCGAATAGGACTCAAGCCTTTTTGTCATTGATCAGGATAGTACCTTCCAGGACAGTGTGTGCTTTGAATGTAGCCAGAGGTCAGACACTGTTGCATTCCACATCGATATATCTGATATGGATCTCCTCATATTCGCTGGATTGGGTATTATCACTTTCAACATTGTTGGCCGATGTCTCTTGCTTAATTGCCTTTCCTTTCCCTTTCTTCATAGGGCAGTTCTTTGCCATGTGTCCTGTTTTTCCACATTCAAATCATTCCCCTTTCTGTCGTCTTGATTGTTTGGAGGATTTTGTTTTCTTCTTGAAAACCCGTGGGGAATCTTCTTCAGAGTTGCTGGAGGCTTTGTGCCGTGGCTGGCTATTCCTACTAGAGGATGTCTGTGTTTTGTAGGCCTTGGTCTCATGGAGAATAGCGTCCTTTCGTTTTGCACTTGTAATTATTACTGCAATTTCGTCGCCGTCTTCCTCGAGTGGTTCTACTTCTCGCCAGAGGGTAGGGTGCATAGTGTCATAGAATCGTCGCTTCAGGATTTATTTGGAGATACTTCCTTTCTCCATTCGGTCCTTATACATCATCAGGTCCGTAGCCACATCGGTGATTCTCTTGACATGCATTCCGTTAACTTGCTGGAGCTGGTTGAATTTGTTGTATAGGAGGTCGTTGGTTATAGAGGATTAGAATCGTCCTTTCAGGTAATCGAGAACTGTTGTTCCTCTTAATCTTACATTCCCGCCGTATTCCTTATAGCATTGGTGGTATGTGTCGGTTGCCTTTCCTTCGCAGAATGATCCAATGAATAGTCCGGTTGTAGGGTCTTCCACATCTTTTCCTTGCAGGAGAAGATAGTGTGTGAGTTCTGTTGCCCATCAGTCAAAGGCTTCGGGTTTGAGGTCTTTTCCTTCTCCTGTAAACTTCGCTGGGAGGTGGAGTTTAAACTTAAGAGGTTCAAATACTACGGGTACCTCCTCTTCTTCAGGCCTAACCCGAGATTTTCCTCCTCCTATGTTAGCCATATCCGATTCGCTACTGGATTCAGGGTCAATTGGAGGTTCAAAAGAAGGCTTCTTCGCTGAAGTAGAAGGGAATTCTACTGGAGGTTGTGTGTCTTCCATGTTTGCAGGATCGCCAAGCTCCTTAGCAAAGCGCCAGTGTTGTTTCTTTCTTGTAAGGTCTTGTTGTGGGATTTGCTTTCCACTCCTGGTCGTCAAAGACTCTATCTTGGATTTGAGATGAAGCCAAATGTGCCGTGATTCTGCCGCTTCTCTCCGCTAGCGTTCTAAGGTGGATATTAATAGGTTGATCAGGCCTAAATCCGGGGACCGGTTCTTAACCACTTACTGAGGTTAAAAAAATGTAACGTGTTTGCTAGGTGCTATTCACGTTATCGGAAAAGGGTACGATAGTTGGCAGGTAGCCTGCTCTTCCAGAGAGGAGGTGAGAGCTGAGAATTAAAGGAGGCTTCGAGGGCGTACTGAGAAACAAAGAAGTAACCGTTCAACCAAGTATATTGAAATACTGTCTGCCGAAGTCTGCCTTTTCTATCGTAGAAACAGGCGGTCTTTAAATACACAAATCTGTTCATGTCTAGCATGAACGAAACTAATCAAAGGTATCAATCGATACTCTTTGGTAAAACTCTTTAAGTATCAAAGCGATACTTAAAACAAAACATAAAACAAAACCAAGTATCAAACGATACTTAAAACAAACCAAGTATCAAAGCGATACTTGAAACAAAACATAAAACAAAACCAATAACCGAGTACCCGTACCGGTTACATTGCGGGTAAGCCTTGCGCATATGATTTATGTTTCACACATGACCTCATTATGAGGTCATGGGTTTCGCGCATATGACTCAGTTGAGTCATATGACTTGTTTATTAAGTTATGATTGGTTTATGAGTTTTGTACATGACCTCACTATGAGGTCATGGGTTTTGAGCATGTATGTCACGAACGTGGCTTAGCGAGGAAAGGGTTTTCACGTGACACATGGTTATGAGTCACAGGTATGTTATTTTTTCACGCATATGACCTATTTGGGTTATATAATTAGTTATGTGTGGGATTTGTGATGCTTTCACACATGGCTCAAGTATGAGTCATGGGACATGCGCCTGACGAGTATGCCTTACGAGTGTGCCTTACGGGTAAGCCTTGCGCATATGGTTTATGAGTTTCGCACATGACCTCGCTATGAGGTCATGGGTTTTGAGCATGTGATCACTTTGGTCATATGACTAGTTTGTTATGATTTAGTTTCGCACATGTGACCACTTTAGGTCACATGACTAAAGGCGGGAAGAACACTATATAAGGAGGCCAATGCGGCCGAAGAAGATAGGTTCTTCACGTTTTGTTCTAAGTACTTTTCCTACTTATTACTTTAACGAATATAAAATACCTTTACGATCTTTATCTTTATTGCAACGTTATCGTTACGCCAAGGAAGGCGCTTTTTCGAAGAAGAGTTAGAGAAAGCTTACGATAGGTGGTCCCGGTAGAAGACAAGGATCTTGTACTATCGGTAACGTAGGCAGAGGCCTAGAGCTATCGTAAGACAAAGAGAAGAAGCAGACAGGAAGAGTAGTATCGTTCCCCGTCGCCAAGCACTAACTATCCAAAGAGGGATCGTTACAATGTAATCACTTTGGTCACATGACTAGTTTGTTATGATTTGGTTTCGCGCATGTGACCACTTTAGGTCACATGACTAAGGGCGGGAACAATACTATATAAGGAGGTCGAGGCGGCCGAGAAAGATAGGTTCTTCACACTTTGTTCTAAGTACTTTTCCTACCTATTACTTTAACGAATATAAAACCTCTTTACGATCTTTATCTTTATTGCACCAATATTGTTACGCCAAGAAAAGTCCTTCACGAAGACGAGTTAGAGAAAGCTTACGATAGGCGTTCCCGATAGAAGACAAAGGTCTTGTACTATCAGTAACGTAGGCAGAAGCCTAGAGCTATTGTAAGACAAAGAAAAAAGAAGACAGAAAGACAAGTATCATTCCCCGTCGCCAAGAACTAACTATCTAGAAAGGGATCGTTACATGTGAATAGATTACAAGTAAATCCTCTTAATGTTAATAGCTGTTTTTTTTCTTTCTTTTTTCAAATCAATACTTGGACATTATAGATAGAAGATATATAATAAACTAATATATACTAATAGATACTTTGCCTACTCTAATAAAACTTGGATAGAAATGAGACATCCTTGCCATCTGCCAAATATCTTTCATCCATGTGGATCAAACCCCTTTGATTACAATACTGATCAGTTTGAGTCAACTAGTATTCAGATCATGTTTTAGGCTTGTATAGCTTACGGGTGTCGTGATCCCTATTTTGTTTGGGAAAAGGAGACAAAACAGGAACATGATAACTTCAATGAAGTAGTTGAAAGTGAGAACAAGGTAAAAAGGCAAAGACAGAAGAACAGAAGAGCTAAGGTACAGATTGAGGGAACAGAGGAATTTGCAATTTTACAAGCTTTGAATACTAATATACAATATTTAGATAAAACTAACCTACTTCCTTCCAGATACCCATGGCAAAAGCCATGTCCTAAGTGGAAGTTTAAGAAGAATATTAAAGAACGTGGTGATAGGAGTAAAGGAGGGATTGACTGAATACTCTACTAGGAGTATATTTTATGCCTGTTATTTTATCCATTCATTCAAAAGGTAGAGTAAGAGACTAGATAAGAGGTATGGGCAGTAGACGATAATGCTCCTACCCATGCCACAGTATAAGACTTGGGAGCAGAGGAGCATGTAAAACTTATAATACTTTCTGTAGACTAGCCTGCACAATCTCTCGATCTTAATAAGATTGAACCACTGTAAGATTATCTTAAAGTTTCACTCGAGGAGTACCTGTTTACAGGACAAAGTCAAATACAAAAGAGCAGATAAAGCAGTCTTTGATATATAAGTGGGAAAAGGTTCCTATTGATTTAATTAATCGACACTGCTCAGATCTTCCAAATAAGCTTGAACCAGTTATCAGAAATAAAGGTAATAATAACTTTCATGGTTAGCTTCATAATATCTTCTGTTTTCTTCCTTTCGTTTTTTCTTTCTTTCTTTCTTTCTTCCTCTTTCCTGTAACGGGGGAGACAGGTATCTTGTGTTGTGTATTTGGCTACGAGAGTCTGCAGGAAATGTGTTTGTTGCAATGCACTGCTTTTGCTCATCTGACTTCATGTGACGGATATATCTATCGGCCGCGCTCGTACAATGCTTCAACCTCTACAAGTAAAAAAATAATAATTTAATGCTCCGCCTCCCAAAGCTCTTTATTATAATTCTCGGTCAAGCGTTCATCGTTACCGTACCTATGGCGTTCCCCATCCCATTAGTCCCAACCCCCACAAACAAACAAATACACAAACAAAGCATCACCGTATAGAGAAGGGATAAAAACATACTTGGCCTGCCACTCCACAAATCCCCCATCCAAAACCAGCACCTCCTGCTTCCTATCCTTTCCCTCCTGATCCTCCCTCCCGCCAACAACCCCCTCCCCCTCCCCCTTCGTGCCCCCCGCCGCCACCGTGCTCCCCTGGCCAAACAACCTTTCCCTCTCCCTCAGATACTTCAACGCAGCGCTGGGCCCACGCTGCTGGGACAATGCGCAGTGAAAAACCACCTTCTCCGCGTCCTTCAGTTGCCGGGCCAGCTCTGCCGCGGTGTAGTCTAGGCTTTCGGAAGGTACGTGGCGGGAAGACTTTATGTGGCCGCCGATGTGGTCTGCGTCCTGTTTGTCAGGATGGGAAGCCAGGGAGGGGGGGGGAACACGCCTGAATCCCGGACGTCTACTACTACCACTTTCTCTTCCTCCTCCTCGCTGGGCTGCTGGGTCAGTAGCAGACTGCTTAGACGTTCGCGGGAAATGCGGTTTAGAGCGGATATTGTCACACCCGACATGGTGTATTGTATATGTGTATGTATGTACGGTTGTGGTGTATTTGGCTATTGATTGATCGATTGAGTGCGGTTGGAGTTGTGTTGTGCGATTCTGTAATATAGATGTGGGTTTTTTCTCTTTCTTTTTGGAAAACGGGGAGAAAAGATGTTTGCAAGTGGCAGGTGGGGCGGCGGCTCAATGATAAGTTATTAGTAAGGGTGCAACAACCCTACGAGTATATTGGGATCAAATGGTAGACACATCATCATAAGGTGGTATGATACATAAAAAAAAAAAATACATATTATCATACAAGAAGAAAAATGAAAAATAAAAAGAGTTAGTCATAATAATATGATAAACGAGCCTTTTCATTGCTCGTCCGTTTCGGACAATCAATCTATTCCCCTCTTCTTCTCAGTCTACAGGTAGTCTATTGTAGATCTAGCTCATTGTTCACATCACAACGTTTGAAAGATATTACAATTGTACATCCATTTCGCCTTTTTGTGACGGCGGAAGCGGGAAATCCAATTAAAGTAGATTAACTAGATAAACTATCATACTATAAATTCCCAACGTATCGAATCTCAGACAGCAAAATGTCTCAAGGAAAAAGTTCCTTTAAAATGATGAATAAGCAAATACTCCTCCAAATTAAAGCCAATCATGATGGACCCCAAAATATCAACCATGGCACCTAGGGCGGCTTAACCAAGTTTTAAAAAAGCATAATGCTTGCCTCTTTTGAGATTTCCCGAAAGAAAAAAAAGAAATTACCTACCGTGTGGTTCCATACTCGTTCTGGGTTATTGGTGAAGTGCTAGAATCACCGTCGCCAAGGTTCTCTCTTGGGTGGGGGGGGAGGATATGCAAACATATTGATGTCAATGCTTTATCATACCCAGAATAGCTTCTTACTGATTAATCGATGGGCTGATAAGTGATTCACTGATAGATTCACTAATAAATCATTGATCAATGGGTCGTTCGGTTACGTCGAGTATGATACATGCATAGAATCCTTCCCTTCCTACGAAATAACTAGTCCCCGCCTGTCCAATGCCTACCCCAGGCAACCCAGAAAATAACAGTTTTTGCCTGTCCATATTCCGCATCAGGAGGGTTTGCGCATTCTGGCATTGGCGGGAGCTATCAATGGTGCTGCTGGAGGTTGTACTTGTAGCTTCCATCAAAATCCCATGAAACTTCCGAAAAATGTCCCCCCCCCCTTTCTTAAACTGGGTGGTCATACAAGTGGCCAACCTCGAACACCTTGAAACCGCTCTTGTCGAAATTATACTTGGGGAGCGCAGCTGCGAAAACATATCCTCATCAAGGCGTTGAAAGTATGACTGAGGTTGGCATTCAGGGTCATCAACTCCGGGTCCAAATAACTCACCCTTCTCATCATCATACACCTCGAAATGGCGGGATCAATGAACCGGGGGCGCCAAGCCCCGCCATGGATTTATTAACATTACCTCGGTGCTTTTGCGAAAATCCCCTCTTTCAGCCCAGACATCTTTGCTTTCTCCTCCCTGCAGCGACGGTTGGATCAAAACACCGGTATTGAGTATACGAGTACATTTTCCACATCTCAGGTAATAGAAAATAACGCTATTGGATTACACTTAGAGGGATCACACCCTAGCCAACGCTGAGAGCTCCGACCACCAGGGTGCAGGATTTGAGAACCAGCTCTCGCTTTACGAGTAGCTGGCTGGACAGACTTGTGGGCTTGGCTAGCCGGCTACCGGTAGCTCTTCCACTCAGCTCAACCGAAGAAATTCACAAATGCCAACCTTACAGTTCCTGCACAGTTCACTCAGAATCTGTACTAGGTACTTCACACATATTTTGCACCCCTTCAACCAGCCAACCAAGCAATCGGAATTCAGCAAAGTTTAACTCAACTCACCTGCCCGGCCTACCGAAATGCACCATACGAGCTTGTTCCATTTGTGACATACCGTAATGCCGTCCATCAGTTCACCTCACCCCCGTTCCTAGCGCTACCCACTAGCACCGAGCATATCAATCCCAAAAACATCAGAGCCTGAATAGGTCCTCCTCCTGCAACTGAAGCTGTTTCTGCCTCTGCGCCTTCGTACTTCCTGATCCCCTGCGCGCATACCCTAGCTTACCGTACAGCGCCTTCTCGACTGCACCATCACACAAGCCAGAGGAGCAAAGGGGCGTTCGAGAGCCTATGACTATAGGAAACTTGGGAATCAATGAGAGTACCATCAATCGCTAGAGACACTTCCTGGAAGACTGGCGCGCCTCCGGCCCTCCTTACATCCCTCGGAACCTCCGCTCTCCAATGGATGTCTCTATGGATACCTTCTAGCTTCCTCCCTCTCCCCTTCTTTCATTCCCTTTCCCTCCTAATTCCCCTTGGTGCGATCCCCTTCATCAATCACCTCCACCGCTTCTCCTGCCGGTCAGATTGTGCTCGCCGCTCGCTCCAAAATTTCCCCCCCTCCTCTTCCTAGTTATCCTCGGGTATCGAATATAAGCTGCTGTCCTCCCCCTTTCTTTCCCCCTAGCTTTAACATTCAAACATAAGATCAGAAGCGCAGGCCCGTCATTATCTCTCTACTTTATATCATCTCTGTGTGCTCGGCTCAATTATATCACCCTTCTCACCCTTCTCCGTTCCAAACTTCAACTCAGCACCAAATTCCCAAACCCCCCTCGTCTCCAGGTCTCATCATCAAGCAATTGGCCTCAGCATGGGGGTGAAAATCGAGTGTATCGTTGCGGGTGATGGCAAGAACTATCCCAAAACGGGGGACAAAGTCACAATGCACTACGTAGGCACACTGGCGGATGGCACCAGGTACTGAGCCCCTTAATTCAATCCAACGATTTTGATATATAGCAAAGTTGCTAATTGGTGCGAATTGAAAGATTCGACTCCTCACTTGACCGTGGCATGCCCTTCAAAACCAAAATCGGTGTTGGCAACGTTATCAAAGGCGAGCTTACCGCAGCCCTCTACACCTCAATCCTCTTTTGGCTACTCCAACCACCTCACCTTTGATAATTGGCCTAGAGGTCATGCTTCTAACATACTCAATTCGTGTAGGCTGGGATGAAGCTGTGCCTCAGATGTCGCTGGGTGAGAGCTGCAAGCTCACGATCACAGGGTAAACCCCCCGGTCATCCCTCTGGTTGATTTTACCCTCCCACTTATCATTTCGTCCGAGCTTTTGAGCCCTCTTCTCACCCACCTACGGATACTTTGAAAGAAGAAAAGAAAGAAAAAGAAAAACTACCCCACCTCACCTTTATCCACTCCCCTCGATAGCGAAGGAATAATATGACCGCTAACCAAAACGGATATGTAGTGACTATGGCTACGGTGAACGGTATGAATATGTTACGTCCTATCCCCTTAACCTCCCCTCCACTCTGGCCCAAAAGTTCCCTATGCCCAGCAAAGGGGTCTTCACGATCTTAAACTAAGAGATACCCTTATGTCATAGCGGATTTCCTAAATTGATACCGGCAAACGCGACTCTCATATTGTAAGTCTTCCGTTTTCTAATTTCCCTGCACGCATAAAATGAGGAGAACTTTCAGGTATGACATGCTGTATATCAAAGCTCCGAGAAAAAAAGGGGGGGGGGTGGTGTTGAAAAAGCAACACAGCTAACATCTCTCGACGGACCAGTGAGGTGACCCTTCTGGGGATCAATGAGCTTGTGCTGCCGACTGCGGCGACTACGGCGACTTGATGCGATTGGTTAGCCTCTTTCGGGAACGGGTCTCAAACGTCAACCAGAGATCGACCGTATCATGAAATCGAAAACCAGAAAGCTCTATTATGCGAATCATTGTTTAACGGTGAAATGAATTTAACGACCAAAAGGATCCCCTTCCCTTATCGGATTTTGAAGAGGGATTTCCAATTGAAGCAAGGAAAAGTCGGTGTTTGTTTGTTTTCATTTTTCGGTTTACTTTAGGCCGTGGTTGCATCACGACGGTCCCGGCCCCCATGTGCTTTTTGTTGTCATTTGGTCTTTTCCTTTAACCCTTTCCTTCAAATTTATTAGGGGCGTACCGTAGTTTCTTTTTCAGTTATCAGTGCGGCGTCTCACACACCCCTTCCATATCCAATCGATCGACTTGTGTGTGTGAGTGTGTTTTTTTCTCTCTCTTTCCCCGTCCCGGAATGAGAAAGAAACTACACACTCCCTCTCTCGTCCCTCGAATCATTGATCATTCTATTTCTGCGCTATACACACTCCTTCAGACAGACAAATAAACGATTCAACCCCGAAACCCGCTACCCTAGAATTGACAAAGACCGGGGGGAGGTGCATTGTGCAATGATGATGGAGTCACTACAAACCAAATCCTTGGTGAAACGAAATTTGACTTTCGCCAATGATTGCGGCGCTGCTTGTACTCGAGTACAGTACCAGGGGGGAAGGGGTATTGCGCAACCAGTGGTCCGCGCGGGGCACGTTCAAGAGGCAAAGAGAAGCCTTGTTTCACCAAGACTTTTTTGTCTCGTGGGCCAGCAACCATCAGGCACTGGAGCAAAAACAACAACCTTCCCACTCTCCACCCTCTTCGCCCGTAGCATAAGGCTCAGCTCGCATCGTTGCGCTATCCTATCAAGTGAAAAAAGGCAGGAAAAGATAAAAGCATCGACACGACCTCTTTCCCTTTCCATTCTCTTTCCATTCCACGGTAGCAACCGGTTGCAGATCAGATATGGATCTGGGCGTCCGTCCTCGACGACCACATTGATAATTATAGAACATCATATCCAAAATTGCCGCGGGAAGCCTCCCCCGACAGGTACAGTACCTCTAGAGCACTATGGAGGGAACAGGTCACCGTAGATAGTAGAGTACTTGTGCCACAAGACGCACACACGTCCCCCAGCCTGCGCACGACGGCGCGACCGCCCTCCCTTCCCCGCACAGATTGAACCGGCTGGCGCGCAATCCTCGGATCACGGCAATGGGGCCGTGCTGAGGTATTGTGTTGTATCGATGCTGAGCTAGCGAGCGGAGATGACAGCTGGCCGGAGTCTAGGTTGGATTCGCAATCCAATTGACCCTTGGATGGCCCGGGGAGGGGGGGGGTGGAGGGTACGTGCGTATTGTTGAACAGGACCGATTTTTTGATTTACTTGATAATATTCTTTACAGTGCCAAGGAAAGGCCTGAAGACTCGTGCGGTACGGTGATGCTCAGTCCCGCACACTCATAGCGTACAAGTACTGTACTAGTACAATACGGTACGAGCACAAGTACACAGCGCAATGCATAACCATTCGAAAAAAGCATTCATCCCGCCCAGAATAGTCCCCCCACCGGGCCCACCCCCGGATCAGCTCCAGCCAGCCAGCCAGCGACACCCACCCGTATGCTCAGGAGCGGACGGCGAACGTCCGGGTTCTCGGCCCCATCGGGAACTGCATTGGTACAAGCACGGTACCGGAAATCCCGGATTCAGCCCTGGCTTACCCCGTCGGCCCGCTAACCGTGATTCAAGGGAATAACGCCAAAACGTAACCTGCGTATACCGGTAATACAACGCCATGTCCAATCCCGACAAACTCCAAATTTGGGGTTCTCGCCCCCTGTAAAGTACCTTTTGCTACCGTGGTACGATACTCAAGTTCATCATACACGGCAGCGACAAGCTACCGACGGTTCTAGAATTGGGGGGGGTGTGGGGGGTTCGTAGTGTTGTGGCTTTGCTGAAAGGGTTTATGATACCAGTGCGGATGTTGCACCCGCCGGTTATTAATGCTTTTCCTTTTCTTTTCTCAAAAATTTATGCATGGTAAATAACTGGTACTGTAAATACGGTAAGGTATGATGAGGCTTTACTTTTCTGCCTTTTTTTTTTTTTTGTTTTTCTCTTCCTTAATTTGTTCTTGGAGCTGACAGAGACCTTACAAGTAAGGATGCCGTACTGTATTGGAACCTTTTAAAAAAAAAAATTTCATCCATACATTTATAATTTTGGGTAAATTACGGTAATTTATGAAATTGTATGATATGATAATTTACAATTGCGCAGCGCTAGTTTAGTTGGTGGTGGAGTGTTTTATTCTTTTTTTGCTCCTTTTTCCCATGTAACTTAGCTGGCACTTTACTTGAGCGCTACTGGCGGTAAGCACCGTAGTTAACCTCCGGAAGAGAAGGGGAAATATGAGAAGGGCCAATTTCCTTTTCCCTTTTTTCCCCCCCTTCTTCTTTCCGCGTAGTATATCATCCTTATTCCATCGTATCATCTTCTCCTCATTCCTTCCTTCCTACCACAGCCCGACATATCATACCAGTACGTACCGCACCGTAGGAAGTGATAAACCATTCAACGTGCGATGCGCTCCGGGTTAAATATCTACTGTACGCTCGGATGATGGGCATAGAACGAGGGAGGAAAAAAAAAAAGATTCCATTATAATTCCCAATTCCAATGATTCCGCAACTTTGGAGCCGCATCACTCACTCCTTTACCGCAAACATTACATGATTATCACGAGTACTGTACTGTACCAGAACTACAACGAGAATCGAAATGGGAAAAAGGAATTGAACACAAATTTCGATTTTTTTTTTTGGAGAACAATGCCTTTCCTTCCACTTAGGATAGTATGAGTATTGATTGAATACACATCTCTCTCTCTCTCAATTCAAACAGCCAGGAAATAATACAGAGGGAAGAAAAGAAAAGGAAAAAAAAATACAAATAGACAAAGGAAAAGAATAGATGCGTGAGTAACTTGCGGCAGTAGTAGTTTAGGGGTATAATAATAGTAATGGTAACAGCAACAATAGGGGAATATGTCTTTGAGGAAGGGGACTTTTATACACTCGTATAGATAGATAATGTACCCTATGATACGATATCTCTCCACGATCAACCAAGGAAATACAAGATACACAGAAAAAGAAAAAAGGAAAAAAGGGAAAAAGGGAAAAAAAAAGGAAAGGAAAGCATATCAAATAATCTCTCACAATCATTTCTTCATTCCCTTACCCTCTCCCTACCTAAATGCAAAGATTCTAAAACCAACAAACATGTCGAAAGATAAAGTTTCCACCCATGCCCACAAGCAATGATATGATAACGTAGCATATCAAACCCGAGCTAAACACAACAAACCAAAAATAAAAGTTAAAGGGCTAAAAAAGGGGAAAACACGGGAAGGGATAAAAAAATCAACCCAACGCCGTTACTAAAGAAGTGAATATAGGTTGTAAAAAGAGAAGAAAGAGGTGTGAAAAAAGGGTAGAAACAAGAAGTAAAGTTCGAATCCCGCCAGAAAAAAAAAAGGGACCGGGTGAATGATGATTGTGAGAGATTTATAGATACACTGGTACGGTACGCGCGGGGGAACGATTGTAAAAAATAAAAAATAAAAAAGTAATTATCTAAGTGCGAGGCTGGAAGGAACAGTCATTTCCGGAAATGCCTGGAATAGGAACGCTCTTCTCATCTAGAATGCTTTCTTTTTTTTTTGGCGACACGCCCAGTACCCAAAAGGTCGACCGATTCTGAGGAGATGTCAACTACTCGTGTACATCCGCTAGTTCCAACCTAAAGAATTTTCCGCCATCATAGGCCCGGAGATGTTTTGTGTCCTAGCACTAGCCTTTCCACTCCCCCTGCTTCCCCTCTTGTCATGCGGGACGCCAATAGCTCCATATGGACTTCTGGCACCGTGCATAACAGGGCCAACACCACTCATCAATCCGCTAGTGGGGTTGCTTCCTGGCGAGACACTACGGCCAATTGAGCTCGATCTGCTATGTCTGTTACGCCTCTGTCTGTACCTTCGGGCAACAAAGAACATGGCAGCGCCATAGACGGTCGCACCAGCCACAATCCCGAGCCCTACACCAACACTCTTCTTGGAAACAGGCCCCTCCGAGCCATTGCTGCCCAATGGAGCACCATCGTTGCTGCTCGCACCACCCTGATTTCCTCCAGATCCACCCAGCCAACTTCCCTCACCGGGCAGACCAGTTCCCTCACCCGTCAATTCTGCCTCAGTTGCGCGAAGGGAAATAGTAGGATCAAGGAGATTAATCATCTCCCTAACCGGAGGATCGTCGCTCTGGAAGAATCTGGAGTTTTGGTTTCTACGGTCCATATCCAACTTGTCGATCATATCAGTAGGGATGAAGGCGAATGCCAAAGTCGTAATATACCCCTTTGTCTTGGTCGTATCAAGAGGCTGAAGATGGTGCATGGTTACCTCAGATAGCTTGATTCCAAGTCCAAAAGCGATTCCCTTGGGAAGATACTCAAAGATCTGAGCAACTGCTACGGGATTTTTGACAACGAATGCATAGTTCAACTGATGATTGAAGCCAACGCGAACAAGACTAGAGTTTCCAGGCTTCTCGGGCATCCCTCCGGCAGGTGTGACAACCTTAGGGAAGCTGCTAGGAATTCCCGTCTCCACTGATTGGGTTGTAGTAGCTGAGCTGAGAATGGTGGATCCAGGAATAGCAGTGACCACCTGGGTAATCATCGTTGAAGCAGGGGCAGTAGACAACTCCGGGGGAAACCATTGGGTGCTTGCCATGGTTGCTGTGGTGGCACCAGATGCGGTCGTTACAGATTCAGCCCCAGTAGGGACGTGGGTCGGGGGTTTTACGGGAAGAGAAGTGGCACTCCCTATTTTCTCGGTGAATGTGGTGGGCGTCGTGAGAAGAGGTACTGTTGTCCCATGTTTTTTTGACTCGGAAATAATTGACGTTGGTGAAGCTCCAGTACCAACTGGCACCGGCTCAGTAGCATTTACTGACAAGCTAGCAGTGCCTGTTGGTGTCGGCGTAGCCACACTTGGAGTTGTGTCATTGTTTGAAGGAGCAGGGACAGGAGTAACACTTGGGGTTGTAACACCGCTGGCTGTCGTCCCGATATTAGTTGGTAATGACACAGGACCGGGAGTGGTAATTGGAAATGAGGTAGCAGTCGCATCGGTAGGCAAAGGAGTCAGCGAGGCAGACGTTGGCAAACCGGGGATAAAAGTATCTGTTGGGTGACTAGTGACACCAGTTGGTAAAATGGCGGTACCACCTGTTCCCACGGGGAAGGTTGGAACATCAACAGGTAGAGTAGTAGGCGAAGACACAGGAGGTGAGGTATCGGTAGGCAGCATTGAGGGAATTGTCGCTCCTAATTTGCCATCTGTTGGCAGGGCTGTAGGCAAAGATGTGGGAGAACCATCAGTAGGCAGCGCCGAAGGAATTGTCGGTGCGGACGTGCCATCTATCGGCACAGCTGTAGGTTACGAGTCACGAGTGACCGAAATGTAGTCGTCTTGGCCGTT